CGACAACACACATCGAAGCACCACCCCCAGGCGACGCAGAATTGCGCCTGCCCGAACTGGAGGAACAACTCAAGGGAGAGTACCAGAGGACCGTGAAGGCCGATCAACATGAGTCCGCAGCCCACGTGGAGAGCCTGGGCAAGATGCAGCAAAAGTTCCTCGATAACCTCGCCAAGTGCACCAAAGAGAAGAAGGTGGGGCCCAACGATCCAGTCTGGCAGAAAGCCATGAGGGATTTCACGGACGATGAGGTCGCCGAGTACACGAAGTGCAAGGGGGACGAGGCTAAGGCCCAGTTCAGGGTGGACTGGGCCCACGGGAAGCACGACGAGATCACGAAGGGCAACAGCTACACCAAGGATTGGAAGCGCGTTGACTCTTCTTTCGGACCGACAGGGTGCAATTCACTCGAGCCTAACAACAACTCATCCTCCCCTCGCTCTTCCCCTCCTTGTCACGAGGACGATACTTGACGTGTGCTGCGATCGCAGTCGAGTTCGGCTACTTGGCCGATCCCGAGGGCGCGCTCGCTGCCGCTAGGAAGTACTGCACGAAATGCGTAGAGCTCGGAGGTCAGTGGTGCCAGTACGAGAGCTGGTCCGAGCAGCTCCTCTTCATGCTTCTGAGGATTGAGAAGCGCGAGATGCTCTCTGAGGTCCCCGCCCCAGACGGGGTGCCCCCTCAAACCCGACGAGGGCCCTGAAACGTCCTGGTCGTCCTGAGAAGGCCCCAAGGCGGCCCCAAGAGAACATAGAAAGCGACGATGTTTCAACGGGGTCACAAAATAACCAGCAAAAACACTAGATTCGAAATCTCTGCCGGGGCCTTCTCCGGCCCAAATACCCGGTTAAGCCCGCGCGGCCACAGGCATCGCCAAGCAAGTGGAAAGGGGGTGGGAGGGAGAGGGGTGGGGGAGGAGGGAGGGGGAGGAGCATCAGCAGCAGAAGCAACACGAGAAGGGGGGGAAAGGAGGGGGATGACGAGGAGGAGAAGGAAGAGGAAGACGAGAAGGAGGAGGAGGAGGAGGATGAGGATGAGGAGGGGGAGGAGAAGAAGGAAGAGGAGGAGGAGGGGAATGAGGAGGAGGAGGAGGTGGTGGAGGAGGAGGAGGTGGAAGGAGAGGAGGAAGATTTTGTTTTGCGTTCCAGCAGGCATGGTCAATCTACACTTCAAGTGCAACTTCGAGTGGGCCGAAGACGGTCAAGGGCAAGGGCGATGATCCGAAGGGGGGTGCCGACAATCCAGCTCCTCCAGAGAAACCGAAGCCTAAACCTAAACCTCAGGACAAGGATGCAGCGGCAGCGAACAAGACCATGGCCGAGGCCCAGAAGCTCACGGGGAGGCACCTGCACGTCACCTCCAAGGCTGCGGATTTGATCAGCCTGACGAAAACTAGCAGTGCCTGGGCTTGGGCAAAAGGGGACGAGAACATCGGTCTCGTCGTCAAGGCGCACGGGGCTTTGGAAGCAAAGGTGGCGGAGATGGAACTCCACGATGTCTTGCACTGCGAGTCCAAGACCTTGAAGGGGAAACTCGGCAAGGAGGCCCTGCAGACGAAGCTGGCCAACTTCTTGGGTCTGAAGTGCGACCTGGAACACCTCGATGAGGTGAGGACCTACCTCTGGAACATGCACCAGGCCAGGAAGCTCCGTCAGGCCCCCTCTAGATGCTTCGACTCTGACGCCCAATCGGGGATGTTGGGCCTTCAGAGCCAATCGCAGCGATTGGACGTCAGCCCGATTTGCAACGGCGAGGGGAAGGCGCCTGCTTTCATTCCGCAAGCTTGGTTTTCGGATGGTTCCGCAGCGATTTCGCAAAACAAAAAAAACGCACCCAAAAATTTGAAGAGATGTTTTTCAAGAAATAGTTGAAGATAAATTTGAAGAGACCCTGGGAACCCTGTAAATTTACATATAAAACCACTCTCAGGACACCCGTGGAAATGAAGAGATGTTTGAAGAGATTCAGGAAAATTTGAAGAGACCGAATTCTGGAGAATTCCATGGGGGAACCGCGATTTCTCGCCTCGTGCGGTGGCGACTGGCAAGGGCCAATTCGCGCTGTCTGGCTGGTCGTCAGCGAGTTGGAGGGCCATGGAGGGAGGCAGGGTGAGGAGGAGGAGGCGAGGGGGGGGAGTGGGGAAGGAGGAAGGACGATGCGGGGATAAGTGATACGAAAACGACGGCATATGGGAGAGGGAGAGAGAGAGAGAGGGGAGAGGGAGGGGGGGGAGGGATGGAAGGGGGGCGCAATTGAGGGAGGGAGGGATGGTGGGATGGGGGTTGGGGGAGGGATGGAGGGAGGAAGGATGGAGGGAGAGAGGGAGGGAGAGATGGAGAGAAGAACGCGGGAGGGATGGAGGCGATGGGAGGGGGAGGGAGGGAAGGAAGGGGTGAGGGAGGGAGGGAGGGGGGGGGGAAGGGGGGGAAGGATGAGGACGAGAAGGAAGAGGAGAGGAGGAGGAGGAGGAGGAGGAGGGGGGGAGGAGGAGGTGGACGCAGAGGAGGATGAGGAGGATGAGGAGGAGGAAGCTCCGAGTCACGTTTAGGTGGTTGCTATTGGTCACATTCCTCTGCAGCAGGCATTGTAGAGGCGAAAGCCGTTGCTGACGTGTAGAGGCATCCAGAAGAGGAGGAGGAGGAGGAGGAGGAGGAGGGGGAGCATGAGGAGGAAGATGAGGAGGAGAAGGAGGAGGAGGAGAGGAGGAGGAGGAAGCAGGGGGAGAACATATGGATCAGCATGAGCAGGATGAGGAGGCGGAGGAAGAGGAAAAAGATAATGAGGAAAGGAAAGGGGGATGCGCGAAGGCGCTGCTCGACCGCCGTTCCAGAGACCCCACCAGGTCTTTAGCGGAACAAGAGGAGGAGGAGGAGGAGGAGGAGGAGGAGGAGGAGGAGGAGGAGGAGGAGGAGGAGGAGGAGGGACGGGAAAGGAATTCCCCCCCCCACTGAAGAGGAGCCGCGCACCGAGGCCAAGCCGTCAAGGGCGTCCTCGAGGGAGGCGAAGCCCCTGGGCGCGGTGCCGCGCCCAAACCACGAACCCCTGGGCTCGCGCACGGCAGGCTCGTGCCCCGCAAGGGGAAGAAGCCCTCGGAGGAAGCCCTACGAGGGAAACTGGAGGAAGGCTTCGACGGCGGAGCCCCTGTGCAGGGGGAAGCGGAGCCCTCGGAGGAAGCCCCACGAGAGAAACCGGAGGAGAGGCTCCGCGGCCCTCGGAGGCTTCGCAGCCCTCGAGGGTTTGCACCAGCCTGCGCCGGCCGACTCCTGCATGGAACTCCTCCGATGGCTTCCTCCCTGGGTCGCTGCCCCGTGAAAGAAGCCCTCGGAGGAAGCGAAGCCCGCGATGCGGCGGCGCTGCCTGGGCGCCTGCAACGCCCCCGCGCGCAGTCCGACCCCTCGGGATTGCGAGCCCGACGCCTCGGGCTCGGGGGCCCGGCTCCGCCGACCCCCCCCCGCTCGCGCTCCCCGAGGGGCACGGCGGGGTGCACGCGAACGCGCACCCGAGCAGCCGCGGAAGCCGCGGCAGGAGCAGCAGAGCCCACTGGCGGCGGGCCCACCGCGGGCCCCGGGCCGGCCGGCGGCGCGGCCAAAGGGGGCGGCGAGCGAGGGGGGGAAGTGAGAAGGGGCGGGCCTTCTCAGATGGCTCGGAAGTCCCCCTCGCCATCGCTCGGACGTCCATTCCCTGTGTTTTTTTTCGGTTTCGTGCGTGGTTTGTTCGGCAAACGGTCAAGGATGCTCCTCGATGGTCCTCGCCGAGGAAAAAAACGCACACGTCCGAGCGATGCCAGGCCCCAAGCATTCTGAGCGGTTTCCCAAGCCTCCCCCGAAGACCACGAAAACTCCTCGGAAGGCGCGAGGGCTTCTGAGGAGCCCCGCCGCCTGCCCCCTCGCTGCCCCCCCTCGCTCGCCGCCGCCGGAGGAGCGGGCGCGCCGGCGGCCGACGGCTGGTCGGCAGAGCCCGAGGGGGACGCCGGGTGCGCGTCCGCGCCGCTCTCCTTGGCGCATCCGAGGCCCACGCGCGCAGGGGGCGCACCTCTGCGGGCCCAGGAGCTGTGGAGACACCAGGTGCACCGGAGGCGAGGAGACTGATATGCGGCATCATCAGCACCATCAGCAGCGCCATGATCATCACCACCGCCACCACCACCACCACCATCGTCATCATCAGCATCATCACCATCATCATCATCATCATCATCATCATCATCATCATCATCATCATCATCATCATCATCACCATCATAATCATAATCATCATAATCATCATCATCATAATCATCATCATCATCATCATCATCAGCATCATCATCACCATCATCATCAGCATCATCATCATCGTCGTCATCACCAGCATCATCATCATGAGCAACATCATCAGCATCATCATCATCACCACCATCATCGTCACCATCATCATCAGCATCATCATCGTCATCACCATCAGCAACATCATCACCATTATCATGATCATCATCATCACCACCACCACAACCATCAGCATCATCAGCATCATCATCATTTTCATCATCATCGTAATCATCATCGTAATCATCACCGTCTTACTATCAACAATAGCATCATCATCGGCATCGTCATCGTCATCGTCAACGTCGTCATCGTCATCACCATAATCAACACGATCATCATCAGCAGTAACATCATCAACATCAGCGAAACCATCATCATCGTCGTCATCATCGTCGTCGTTATCGTCGTCGACATCATCACCACCATCATCAGCAACATCAGCAGCATCAACATTATCATCACCAGTATCATCATCAACATCATCAGTATCATGATCACCATCATCAGTATCATGATCACCATCATCATCAACATCATCATCATCATCATCATCATCATCACCAGTATCATCATCATCATGATCATGATCATGATCATGATCATCATCATCATCATCATCATCCCTTCCCCCGACCACTTCGCCCCCTCTTCCTCTTGCTGCTGCGGATGTGTTCCGTCTCCCTCGCCCCCGTCCTGGTAAAGTCGAGTACTGGCCTCCGCAAACGAGGCTGTCCCGTACTTCGCCTCAGTGCGAGGCACGGGATAGCGCAGGCCAGAGGGGCAGGGATAAGGAGCACGAGGAGTGCGTAGGGGAGGTGGGGAGGAGGCGGATGGGGCGGAGAGTGAGCGAGAAGAGATGGTGAAGAAGACGAGGAGGACGAGGAGGAGGAGGAGAAGGAGGAGGAGAAGGAGGAGAGAAAAGGAAGCAGAAGGATCAATGATAAAACTTCTCGCGAAGGGCGGACCGAGCAAGAGCGCGCATCGAAGCGACGACTGCTGACACAGTCGGCATGGGCAGAGACCGATAGGACCACCCTTCGGGTGATAAGGAGGTTTTGGGGAGGAAGGGTAAGGCGGTCGATTTGCAATGAGTCCCGCCTACCGCCAACAAATAATAGACGACAGGTAATGAATACCACGTACTTCCGCTTGTTTCTATCAACCCAATCGGGACAAACATCGAGTCAAGCATCGGGACAACCATCGGGACAACCATCGGGATAACCACTATCCATCGGGACAACCATCGGGACAACCATCGGGATAACCACTATCCATCGGGACCACCATCGGGAAAACTATCGGGGCAACCATCGGGACAACCATGGGGACAACCATGGGGACAACCATAGGGACAACCACGGGACAACCACGGGACAACCGCGGGACAACAACGGGACAACCGCGGAACAACCACGGGACACGCGCCCGCCCCGCCCGGGGGGGGGGGGGCGGCCCTTTGGGCTCCATGCGGCCTCTACAAGTGCAGGAACTCGCGCAGCTTCGCCTCGCCCGCACTCACGACACGAACCGAAACCGAAACCGATTTCCAGGTTGGGGCCACTTCCGGTCGCACCCCCCAATCTCCGATTATGCACGCTTCCACTTCGCCACGAACCATCACAACCCTCCCTCCCCCCCTCCCCTCCTGTGCCACCGTCTTCCTCCTCCTGTCAGACGGAAGAGGAGGAGGGGGACAAAGAGGAGGAGGAGGAGGAGGGAGAAGGAGGAGAGGAGGAGGAAGAAGAGGTGGATGAGGAGGTGGAGGATTGAGGATGGGTCAGAGGTTGGATACGTGTATCCCCTCCTGGTCGGCCGTACCCCCCTCACCTCCTGTGCCACCGTCTTCCTTCTCCTGCCAGACATCCGACGCTGTGCCTGTTCCCCCCGCGGCCCCAGTGGCCCCGACCCCTTCCCCAAGGGGCAAGCGCTCGCCCTGTACCCATGCTTGATGGCCCTGGCTTTGATAACATACCCCAGAAACGGGCACCGATGAAAAGCTGCCAGCTTCGAAAAAGACATGTCGTCGGAGATCTGGGTATTCCTCCTCCCAGCCTCCTCCCTCCTCTGGGTACTCCTCCTTCTCCGCCTCCTCGAAGGCCAGCGGAGGCCTCCCAGAGAGGCCCAAGAAGGGCTGGAAGCGAGCAAACCCCGCCGATCCTCCTCCTCCCTTTGCCTCCGCCCCCAGCGACGGCGGCAAGGACGGCGACGCCGACGGCTCTGGGTCACTTCTGGAGGCTCAGGTCGCCACGGACGCACGAGGCTAGAAGAACAGAACAGGGTGGACCCTGGACGATGATGACGACGACGATGACGACGACGGCGGCGGCGGCGACGACGACGACGACGCCGGCGGCGGCGACGACAATGACGAAGGCGACGACAGCGAAGACGACGGCGACGACGATAACGACGGCGACGACGACGACGATGGCGGCGGCGGCGGTGACGACAAAGACGACGACAAATACGCCGACGAGGACGACGACGACGACCACTTACGTTGAAAACCATGTCCTGTCCCCCTCCCGTGCACCATCCTGGCTTTATTTTCACGAGGGGAGGCCCCGAAGGCAAACAAACAGACCACAAACAAAACACGCTAAAGAGCCATCGGTCCTCGAAGCTCGACGAACCTGCAGACGAAGACGACGACGATGAAAGCCGCCGACAGAAGCCAACGACGACAAACGACGCCGCCCCGACCCCCAGACATACATGCCCTGGGGGCGTGCTCTCCCCAGAATCCCTCGAGGCGGGCCCAATCGTGGCCGCCAGGGCGCCCTCAGAGGCCGAGAAAATGCCCCTAAAATCTCAATCCTCGAGGGCGACGACGACAGCGGCGACGGTCCTCCACCCTCGACGATTTACGATTTGGCCATCACCTACACCAATTGGAACGCCCGACATGGGTATGGATGAAGTGGGTACGATGCCCAACAGCGAATGCCGTCCAAAACCGACAGCGGCCGCTGCTGCGCAGGCGGACTTGTGCAGCAAACGGACGACGTCCGTGGCGACGCCGACAGCGAAGCCAGTTCAAAATGGAAAATGACTGCAGTTGGTCTTCGTATCCGTTGTTTCCGTACTAACCGTTTCGACCGTACCGAGCCAAGGAGGAGGAGGAGGATCGAGGAGGAGGAGGATCGAGGAAGAGGAGGAGGAGGAGGAGGAGGATCGAGGAGGAGGAGGACGAGGAGGATCGAGGAGGAGGATCGAGAGTGGGGAGCGACGACGGCGGCGGCGGCGACACCGCGGAGGACGACGCCGACGGCCGCAAACGGCGGCGGCGGCGGCGACGACGACGGCGGCGGCGACGACGTCGACGGCGGGCCCGGGCCTTCGGCGCCTCGACGTCGGCCACGGCCTGCCGCCGGACCAGAGCGGTCGTCGTCCTCGCCGCCGCCTCCGTTGTTTCCGAATAGACGAGCGCGTTCCACTACTCGCACGGTACTCCAGATTTCGTGATAAAGGGAGGGGGGTCGCATTTCGGGGGGGGTCTCTTCCAGGCTATCTTGGAGGGCCTGGGGGGTCTGGGGATGATGTTTTGGAGGGTTCTCCCACGGGGGAGGTCTGAAATGGCTTGTCTTGGAGGGTCCAGACCCCCTCCCTTTTATTACGACATCTGGGGTAACTACTCGCAAGTGGCCTGGATCCGCCGCGGGGGGGCTACGAACAAGTACGCCAAAACAGACAAGCGCTTGTCGGACGCCTGCGAGCAGGCACTTTGCGAGCAGTGGAACGCGCTCGGCGACCGAAAGTCTTCCCATTCTCACGTTGCACTGGAAGACACTACCGCCAGCAACAGAAAAAACAGAGAGGTCCACATAAGGGGGGGCGGGGAGCCCTCGATCGCCTGCTCTGGCAGCCGTTTCGCCTGCGACGTCCTCCCAAATTATTCGGGAACCGTGCTCTCGCCGGATTGGCCCGCAGTAGCTGCCCATCCAAAGACGACTGCTGCATATGCTGAGGCTCGGGTCAGGCTCGGGTGCTACGTATGTATTGGGAGGGCGGGTGGGAGTGAGCGAGACGGCTTGCGGGCGGGGGGGGGTCTGGATCACTGTTCCCTATTAATAAACACCCCCTCCCCCAGGCGACTGGGGGCCAACCAGGGTCCATGCCCCCCCCATCCCTTTGTAAAAAAATATCCCGGCAAAGCAACCTAACAACGACGTGTAGAAACATATCTGAAAGCATTCCCCTTCAGATTCAGATGAAAATCCAGTTGTAGAATTCTGCTGTTCTCGCAGTCGTAGTCGCATTCGCGATGACAGTCGCAGCGGCAACGGCAGTCGCAGTCACAGCCTCAGCCTCAGCCTGCCTCAGCCTCAGCCTCAGCCTGCCTCAGCCTCAGCCTGCCTCAGCCTCAGCCTCAGCCTGCTTCAGCCTCAGCCTCAGTCTGCCTTCAGCCTCGGCCTCAGCCTCAGCCTGCCTCAGCCTCAGCCTGCATCAGCCTCAGCCTCAGCCTCAGCCTGCCTCAGCTCAGCCTCAGCCTCAGCCTGCCTCAGCCTCAGCCTCAGCCTGCTTCAGCCTCAGCCTCAGTCTGCTTCAGCCTCAGCCTCGGCCTCAGCCTCAGCCTGCCTCAGCCTCAGCCTGCCTCGGCCGCAGCATCAGCCTGCCTCAGCATTCAAAATGTAGCCCAGGAGTGGAGTTCTGGGAATTAGAAAAACACGAAGTGGCCTACAGTTGGCTCCGGGCATTCAAGATCATGCCCAAGAAAGGAGTTCTGGGAACTTGAAGAGCACGAAGTGGCCTACAGTTGGCTCCGGGCATCCAAAATGTGGCCCGGGAGTGTAGTTCTGGGAAGTCGAAGAGCACGAAGTGGCCTACAGTTGGCTCCGGGCATCCAAAATGTGGCCCGGGAGTGGAACTCTGGGAAGTCGAAGGGCACGTAGTGGCCTACAGTTGGCTCCGGGCATCCAAAATGTGGCCCGGGAATGGAGGTCTGGGAGCACCAAAAGCGATTTTGCGAGGATGTCCAAAGCGATTTGGGCTTCGGCGGCAGCCTCCCCGGGTCCCGCCCCGACCCCCCTGAGGAGTCATGATGCTTTCTTTTGACACCACTAGAAACCTATCAGTCTTCGCTGTTAAGTAACAAAACGCACTCTGCCTTCAAATTCGAAACATGCGCAGCCAACCCGATGCGCCCCCCCCACCATCCCTGTCAAAAAACAATCCAGAGTACACTTGGCGGCGGCGGCGGCGGCGGCGTGGCGGCGGCGGTTGCGGCGGCTGCGGCGGCGGCGGCGGCGGTTTGGCAGCGGGGGGCGGCGGCGGCGGCGGCGGCGGCGGCGGCGGCGGCGGAGGCGGCGGCGGCGGCGGCGGCGGCGCCGGATTGGCCCCCAGTAGCTGCCCATCCAAAGACGACTGCTGAATATGCTGAGGCTCGGGCCAGACTCGGGTGCTACGTATGTGTTGGGAGGGCGGGTGGGAGTGAGCGAGACGGCGTGCGGGCGGGGAGGGGGTAACTTGACCCCTCCCCCTACCCCCTCCCCTGGACCTGGACGGAGGGTTCCGCGGGTCGTTGGGGCGTCCAAGGCGGCTCCAAGAGCGAAAAGGCGAGAAAGCAAAACAACATTGATTTCCGCAGGTTCTGGAAGGATTTTGGCCTCTTTAGGAGCCCAAGAGGCGATTCGAGGCACTCTAGAGGGGCAAGGCTAATTGACGACCCCCCTTCTTTGATTGATCTCCTCCAGCATGGCCCCAAGAGCGCCCCTCCCAAGAGCGCCCCGAGAGCGCCCCAAGATGGCCCCAAGAGGCCCCAAGAGGCGCCCAAGAGGCCTCCAAGAGGCTCCCAAGAGACCCCCGAGAGGCCCCAAGAGGCTCCCCGAGATACGCAAGGGGTCCCCGGGACCGCCAAGAGGCCCCAAAGACGGCCCAAGAGGACCCCAAGCTCGCCATTGTCCTCCTCCTCCTCCTCCTCCTCCTCCTCCTCCTCCTCCTCTTTTTCTTCCTCCCCACTCCTCTCCCTCCCTCACCTCCTCCTCCTCCTCCTCCTCCTTCTCCTCTTTCTCCTGCTGCTCCTTCTCGTCCTCCACGTCCTCGCCCTCGTCCATCTCCTCCTCCTCATCTTCTCCTCCTCCTCCTCCTCCTCCTCCTCCTCCTCCTCCTCCCCCTCCTCCTCCTGCTCCTCCTCCTGCTCCTCTTCCTTCTCCTACTCCGACGACGACGACTCCTCCTACATCCTCCCCCTCTTGGGGTATATGGCGGCTTACCCCGCCCTTTTTTCTTCTGCATGCTCCCCCGCCTTCCTCATCACCTCCACTCCCCTGGGACTCATTTCTGGACGGGCTGGTGGGGATACGCGAAGCGTCTTGCTCCCGACGGCCAAGATCCCGGGTAAAAACGTTACGCCAGAGAAAAATGCCAAGCAGAAGAAAAGCTTGGCAGGCACCATGCCTGGCCGCATCTTCGCCGCAGGGCCTGAAGAGGCCCTACTACTGATTCCGTGTAAGTTTTACAGGGGTTGTGGCAGTCTTGCCTCTGCGGGCATCCGTCGCTTCAAAACGGCCCAGAATGCTTCCAGTCTAGACGACCCCGAGAGGGCTCGTCGGCGGCTCAAGACGGCCTCAATGCTGGCCCGCGACTGCCCAAAGAGACCGAGCAGACGGCGAAGAGGGCCTCAAGGCGGCCCATTTGAATCTCAAGCCTGCTCCACGGGAGCCCAGGACAACCCCAAAACGGCCCGAAGGAGCTCCCCGAAGCGATCGGTGCACACGGTTCTCGCCGGACTCCCGCTGGGAACGCAGGACCGTCTCCCAGAATCTCAACATGTACTTTTACTAACTTAAGCAGGCTACGTCAGGAGAAGGGATCTGGAGAAGAGGAGGGCGGCAAAGAGGAGGCTGTGCCCAGTCGAGGGAACGGGCAACTCCCCCCAAAACTTTCGGTCCCCCAAGGTACCCCCCGCTCCGCGAACCCCATTGGGGGATCGAGATCCCCGCTCAGCAGGGGGATTCGCAGAACGGGGCAGCTTCCAGGTGCCTCTTATCTTCGCGCTGGCGCTGACGATGTGCACCCAGGAGAGCGTGGGTTAAAAGGAGTGCGAGAGCGAGACATCAGCCGCAGCCCCTCCCCAGGGACACCGCGCGGGCTGGATCAGGCACATGCGGCGCCCTAAGTCGGCGCGCGCATGTGAGAGGCCCATGTGTATCAAAGGAACAAACGACGGCATAAACATAAATGTTTGACTCTCCGCGCGGACGTCTTGGATCTGCGCTGGACCCCGTTCCCTGGCGCGCGGAGCGCGCCAGGGTCGGCGCCGGAGGCGCCGCCAGGTGGGGCCCAGCGCAGATCCAAGACATCCGCGCGGAGCTCCAATTTTTTTGTTTATCTATTTTTGTTCGTCTGTTGGAGAGTCCTTCACACATCACCCCCGTGCTGGGCGATACCAAGGCACGTGAGACAACGGATTGCTCGGAGGTCCCCGAGGCCCCCAGCCACTTCCGGAGGCCTCCAGACGCCGGCGAAGCACAGAAAGCCACCACGAGAGATCGAAAGCCTTGATGCAGAAGAAGAAAAGCCGCCATGAACATGAGCTTGTGGCGCTCCGCGCGGACTTCCTGGATCCGCGCTGGGTCCCCCGGCGGCGCCAAAAAATTAGCCTGGCGAAGAACCCAGCCATATGCAGTTGTCAGTACCGCAGCTGAAGGTTTCATCTTCAGTGGAACTCCCCATAGGACTACGGAGCGTGTGAGGGGTGTGCCGAGATGGGTGCCACTGGGGCATTCTGCGAAGCTCCCTATGGGGACATGAAACACGCGCGGGGCGTGCCGACATGGGTGGCGGAAACGCATGTGAGGGCCGCCACTGGGGCCTCCAGTGGAGCTCCCTATGGGGCCACGAAACATGATGCTGCTGCGGGGGGGGAGGCCGGGATGGGTGGCGGAGACGCATGTAAGGGCCGCTACTGGGGCCTTCGGTGGAGCTCCCTATGGGGCCACGAAGCGCGTGAGGGGTGTACTGGGATGTGTGGCGGGGACGCATGTGAGCGCCGCCACTGGGGCCTTCGGTGCAGCTCCCTATGGGGCCACGAAACGTGTGAGGGGTGTGCCGAATTGGGTGCGGGTGGTGACGCATGCGGGCGGTGCCACTGGGGCCTTCGGTGGAGCTCCCTATGGGGCCACGAAACCTGTTGTTGTGAGGGGCGTGCCGGGATGGGTGGCGGGGACGCATGTGAGCGCGGCCGCTGGGGCCTTCGGTGGAGCTCCCTATGGGGCCACTAAACGTGTGAGGGGTGTGCCGAATTGGGTACGTGTGGGTGACGCATGTGAGCGCCGCCGCTGGGGCCTCCGGTGGATGATGGGGCCACGAAACCTGTCAGGAATGTGCCGGAATGGGTGCGCAGGACGCATGCGCATGTGAGCGCCGCCACTGGGGCCTTCTGTTGGGCTCCCTATGGGGCCA